TAAAAATTTATGCAACTAAAATAGTTTCTATCAAATCTAATTTATTTAATTTAAAACATAATTAATTCTAAGAATCTAAAAAAATTTCATACAAATATATGAAATAATAAATAATTACTACAAAACAACCTCAAATAGAAAAAAAATTATATAAATAGAAAAAGATATAAAGTAAAATGTATTTTATAAAAATTATATTAATTGTCCCTACTTAACTTAAAATATTTAAAATACCTTTAAAAATTAAAATATTTAACAAATGTCACAAAATAAAATGTATTTAAAAAATACAAAAAAAAAAAAATCCTGCAAACTCACCATCACTAGTTCACTAAAACAAATAGTACAAAGTGAGGGAAAGGAAAATTAAAAATAAATGAGCAACCATTATTTCTTGATTACCGGTTTATATCTATTTTCTCTCAATATTTTTGCAACGTGTCAGCAAGAGAGGGGGAAATTGTTGAAGAGAGTGCTTACGGGGCCAAAAACCAACATTTAGCCCCTTACCTTATAAAGTTGATAGGTTTTAACACTTTACCTTTTAATGTGACATTTTTAACCCTTTACCTTACAAATTTGGTAGGTTTTAGTCTCTCACCTTAAAAAGTTGGTAAGTTTTAATCTCTCGCCTTATATTATAACATTTTTAGTCCCTCACCTATACAAATTAAAGAAAATAACTCTCACCTAATATTAGGTTATAATATTTTGATTGTTTTATTAGCTGACTGTTAACATCCGTTAGTATTTCATTATAGAAAATATGAAATTTAAATTCAATTTTATTTGTTAGTTCCATTAACGGAATGCTAATGGATGCTAACAGTCAGTTAACAAAACTAACAGTCAGCTAACAGAATTAATAGAACATTATAATCTTATGTTAAGTGAGAGTTATTTTTTTCAATTCGTATAAATAAGAGGTTAAAAGTGTTATAATATAAAGTGAAGAGTTAAAACTTACTAATTTTATAAGGTGAGAGATTAAAATTTATCAATTTTATAAAATTAAAGGTTAAAAATGTTATATTATAAAATTATGAGTTAAAACTTATCCATTTTATAAAGTAAGAAACTAAAAGTTGGTTTTAACCGCTCATGGGCGAGTGCCTACAGCACTGCTCATTGACCCACCCCACGTTTTGCAGCAATGATAAAAGGGCCGCTGAACTTCATCAAGATATTAATACCGAATTGCGTAATTGCCCGTTCCACATTTTGTTAGATGGTATAGTAAAATAATAATAATAATTAATATATTTTTTATTTGACTTTTTTTATATTAATTTAGTTTAATTATTAAAATATAATATAAATATAATTAATTTTTTATTTAAAAATTTATTAAAATATTTTATATATTTAATAATTATAATTAAATTTTTTTAGTGTATTTTATATAAAAAGGTGTTAATTTTTCTTTCTCTCGCACCAATATACAAAACCGAGTAATTGACCCGTATGGTGGACAGCGTATACTAACGTGCCAAATTGACCAATCCCAATCTCTGTTTTAAATGTTAAGAAAGGTTTTTTTAACTTGTATTTTTAGAGATTTAAAAAAATAAAAAATAATATTTAATTTATTAATTATTTAATTAAATTTAATTATAAAATAATATTATTAAATTTAAATTTAAATTTTATATATTTTATATAAATTTATAATAAAAAATATTCTTCAACTCTAAATGTACATTTTAGAATAAAACATAAAAGAAAGGGAAAAAAACTATAAAGAGGTCAACTTCAGCATACTAACACCAAATTCGGAAATTGACCCGTCCCACATTTTGCACGCACGAATGATAAAAGGGACAGTGAACTTGACCAAGATACTTTATTATTCGTTTTAAATTTTTGTCTGCTGATTAAGGAAGTAATTTATTATTTTTGTTGTTATTAATCAGTTTAGATTTTTAGATAACGATTAAAAAAATTATTTATTATTCCTGATTTTAGAAATGTATAAGTTTAAAGTACTGTTTTACTTTTTTAATATTTTCTCATATTTAAATTTAATCTCCCAACGTGATTTTTTCTTTTTTCTTTTTCGCATTGATTCTCTTTTGTTGATTTTTTTTTTTTTTGAATGTTTCCAATTTTGAAGTCATTTCGTGCCCAACACTGAGAGCATTTATCCGTATTTGCACTAATCCACGGCGAGCAAGTCATTTCATTTTTTCACTTCTATTCCATGTTTAAACTTAGATTTATGATGAATTTCTGTCAGTTTCATTTTTTGACTATTCTTCATTGTTCTCAAGACTACAACCAACGCCTCCTCATCTTCTCCTCTGCCTCACTAGATTCTCCCAAATCCCCCTCTCCAATCCATGGCAGCAACAACCTCAACATTGC